TTGCATAATTGATGTATGTATGGATTGTGATAAGAGTTGTATGAGCCCCTAATAAAACGATTAAAAAAAAAAAAAGAAGATTGAGGATTGTAGCCTTCAGTATGGATTAAAACTAAATGTAAAGAAAAAAAATTTTTTCACAGCTAGACCAATAGGGATCATCAATGATAAATGGAGAAAACATCCTAGGATTTTGTCTTGCTTGGATCCACAATCAACGCTCATGGAAGCAGCAAGCAAGAGCTCAAGGCACACATTGCATAGGTTAATGCACAGGGCCTCTTTAAAGTGTTGACAAGCAAGGAGACTACTTTGAGGACTAAGGTACATCTGACCCAAGCCATGGTATTTTCAATTGCCTCATATTTTCAATTGGTTGCATGTGAATGTTAGGTATAGAATAAGGGAGACTGAAGAAGAATTTGAGAATCTGGAAAGTACCTTGAACTGCCAGAAGAACCAACAAAACTATTCTTGAAGAAGTACAGCCAGAATGGTCCTTAGAGGCCAGGGTGGGAAGACGTCATCTCACATACTTTGGGCATGTTGTCAGGAGAGACTCAGTCACTAGAGACAACATCTTTGGTGGAGTAGAGGGGCAGGGGGAAAACGAGAAGGCCCTTAACATGATGGATCTGACACAGTGGCCGCAGTCATGGGCTCAAGCATGGAAATTAGTGTGAGGATGGCGCAGGACCAGGCAGTGTTTAGTTCTTGTGTGCACAGGGTCATTATGAGTAGGAACCAACACAATAACATCTAACAACAACATACATTAGAATCAATCCACCTGCCTTTTACACCTGCTCAAGATAGGGTCAAAGATAAACCCAGTGATGTGAAAGACTCGGATTTTCTCTCTCAAATCCCCTAAAGCCCCTGGCACAAACAACTGACAAAGCAAAAGTCATTATGTTCCATCTCCTCCCTGTTCACAGGCCAGGGCCAAAATTTAGGGACAGGTTGAACCCAAGTCTCTGCCCACTTGTTGAGGACCCACCCTAGAACAGGGACTGCTGCTGCAAGGCAGGGCACTGGCTCTGAGCCACCTGCAGAGAGAGTCCAGGGAGGCTGGCACAATGAGGAGCTCATCTTGGAGAGAGGGTTCAGAATGAACTGGGACCTCTTACCAATTTAAGAATGGCTGTGCAGAGGTGTAGACAGCGACGGAGCAGACGGAGTGCCTTGTGGTTCGCCTTGGTTAGAGCCTTCTGCAGCTCCAGTAGCTCATAAGTCTGATCTGGCTCCTGAGGAAGCCAGGGCACACAGTGCAGCTCCTGCAGAAGCCTGGAATCAAGGGGTAAAGCAGTTAGAACCAGCAACCCAGCTCTCCTTTCTTGGACATTCTTAGTGGCCCACAGGGACAGATTTCCTCTCAGGACCTCCTTGGAAGTGTTCAAGCACTGGAAACTGATTATGGGGGCCATGCTGGAGGATAGGGCTTGGGCTCTGTGCAAATGATTACACAAAGTGGCGCGCCTGCCAGGAGCGGTCACAAAGTTCTGACTCAAAAGGAAAGATTCTAAATGCTTCTTCCCTGGAATAAAGGAAGCTAATGGCCCTAAAACTCTAGCTGGCCAGGTAAGTTTTAGGATCATGGGCTTGCAAGTTCCATATGGGCAGGCCATAATAACCCTGGAGAAGCCTTCTTCTCTATCCACTTTCTCTGAAGAACTTCACATCTCTAAACATCCTTGAAAAAGACGAAAATGCCAACAAGCAGAGAGGATGGTCGTAACAGGTGCATTTATTCAGTGTCTACAAAAACACACTGAACATGTTGCTTTATAGTCACAGTCTCATTGAGTTCTCACTCTACTCACTGTCATCCAGTCACAGCGGACTCTTGGCAACCCTACAGGACAGAGTAGAACTGCCCCCAAGTGTTTCCGAGACTGCAACTCATTACAGGAGTAGAAAGCCTTGTCTTTCTCCCTTGAAGCTGTTGGTAGTTAGGAACTACTGACCTTATGGTTTGCAGTTCAACATGTAAACCACTGTGCAAAAATCCTTATCTCCAGTTTACCGACCAGGAAACTGAGGCTTAAAGAGTAAAATGTCTTGCTAATATTAAGGAAGTAAATTCTGTTCGGTCAAGATTCTAAGCCTTTAAACTATTAATTGCTTCATGATATTAAGCTAGAGGATGGAGACAGCTTAGAGCAGAAGTTGCAAGTTGCTAGCTTAGGGGCCAAGTTCAGTTCATAAAGTTTTTCAGATTCACCACAAAGAGTTAGCCAGCACAGTACACCAATAAAAACCTATCTGCAGACAACTGGACATCCCCTCACAGAAGGGTCACAAGGAAGGAATGAGTGAACCAGCAAAGCACCGATGAAACACACAATATTCCTCTGGATCCTTGACGCTTCCTGACCCTCCATTATCATGACCCCAGTACTGCCTTTCACTGTGGGCTAGACCGCAGCATGTGCACAAGTACAGATAAGAGATAAGAGCTCATGACACACGGAATCCAGGAACAGGAATGGGAGTAGCGATACCAGGATAGGGGGAAGGTAGATAGAGGAAGGGAGGAAGGGGGACTGAGAGCAACAATCGACACATAAACACACCTCCCTGCTCCAGGGGACCAACAACAGAAACTGGGGGAAGGGCACAGCAGTTGGTGTAAGATATGAAAATAATAATAATTTATAATTTAACAAGGGGTCCTGAGGTGGGGGGAGGATAAAAGAGGAACTGATATCAAGGGTTCAATAGAAAGCAAATGTCTAGAAAAGAATGATGGCAACACATGTACAAATATGCTTGATATAATTGATGTATGGATTGTTACAAGAGGTGTAAGAGCCCCCAATAAAATGATATTTTAATTAACTAATATTAATAATAAATAAAAATAAATAAATTTCATTTCACCCCGTCTGAAAAAAAATTTTTTGAGCCAGCCTGTTAAAATTAAGAAAATGTGATACAAAAATAATTTATAAATTATTAAGGGTGCATGGGGGAAAGGGAAGGGGAGGGGGGGAAAATTTAAAAAAAAAAGGAAAATGAGCGCATTCCGGGAACCCAAGAGGCAAGAAAATTTTGGGAATGATGAGGGCAACAAATGTATGGATGTGCTTTGCACAGTTGATCTATGTATTGTGACGAATTGTATGAGCCCCAATAAATTGATTAAAAAAAAAAAAAAAATTAAGAAAATGTGAATTTCCAGGAAATCTTGAAAAAGAAGGTGACTGGCCACACTGGGAAATCTCAATTACAGTCCTCACCACCCTCAAGTCATGCCTAAATCCTGTGCTCGTCAAGACCTCCTGCTTGGTCTCTGTATGAGAGAAGATAAGGAGCCCCCGTGGCACAGTGGGTTATGAGTTGTGCTACTCACTACAAGGTCAGCATTTCAAAGCCCCCAGTTGCTACTTGGGAGAAAGATGAGGCTCTCTGCTCCCACAAAGATTTACAGCCTCAGAAACCCACAGGAGCATTTCTACCCTGTTCTATAGGTTGCTATGAGTCAGAATTGACTCGATGGTAATGAGTTTTTTTGTGTTTAGTACAGCAGAGAATGTAATTGGGAAGCAGCTGAGAAGCAGTGTTGGGAAAGCAGAGAAGGACTGAAAACAGGTGCAGTTAAGATTTCTGCCCCCCAAAAGAACTCAAGGAATACTATAGAAAGAACACAGTGTTTGGAGTTCGCCTCCCAGATTTGATAGCCAATCATTGTGTGATCTAGAGCAAGGTGATAAACATAATAGCATGGGGCAGTGCTCAGCACATGTTACTCAGAAAACATGCCAGGATATTAAATAACGTGTGAAATAGGATCCCATTTCGTCTGTGTGATAGGAAAAAGACTAGGAAGATATGCAACAAAATGCTCATAGTGGTTATTGATGGGTGGTGTGATTAAAGGGTTGCTTTATTTGTGCTAGTTTTTGTATTCTCCACAATGAGCCTTTCATTTTTTTTGCAATAACAATTTTAAAAATCCCATGTAAGGGTAACTTGAAGAACTCACCTGCTGACATGGAGTAGCCCAGTTCCGAAGTGAGGCACAGCCAAGAGCAGGTGATTCCGTAAGAAAAGCTGGCACTGACGAATCACCTGAAACTTCACTGTTTTCTTCCAGCTACGGGGTAGAGGTAAGTGCTACCATGCTGTTGCCCTCATTTACATCCTCCCAAGTTCCATACCCATCATCACCTACCGGGTCAATGCCTTGCGTACAAGGTAATTCTTAAAGAACGGAATGAACTGAAGCTTTTGCCAGAGAACAGAGTGGCGATGCCAGGTACCCAGGGTCATTGTGTCACTGCCCTCCACAGGGTGCATATGCAGGATCCCAAAGGGAGAGAAGATGTAGTGCTCTGGATTCACCTTGTTTGGTGGCACAACCATCAGGTTGTAAGGCCTATGGAAAAAAGCTCTGGTCAGTGAGAGCCCCAGGAAGGGACAAGAGAAGGGCGGGGAGGTGAAAAAGGCAGCTAGGCAGGCAGGAAGGGAGTAAGAAAGGAAGGAAGGAGTTAGAAGTACAGAAAAGAAGCAAAATGATCTTCAAACTAGAAGGTGGAACAAATGGATAGAAGGGAATTTTTAAAAAAGTACCTATCCTGTTCTAGGCAGCTCTTGTCTCCAGACCTATATACAAACGGGTACTAAACAAAGAAACAGAATTTTTTTTTCAAAGCTATGTATTTAACTTTTTTTTACAAAACAACCTTATCACCTTCAAAGTACTCTCCATTACACTTAATACATTTGTCAAGTCTGCAATTCCATTCTTGGAAACATTTTTCAAACTCATCTGTTTAGATGGCTGACAGCACCTCCCTCGGTTTTTTCTTCACCTCTTCTACATCATCAAATCACTGTCATTTCATTCATAGAAACAAAAATATGTCACACAAGCAAACTCAGGTGAGTAAGGTGTGTGGGGTAAGAGAGGCCTGTTTTCTTTTTTTTAATGCCCAACTGGCACACTGAGATGGCTGCATAAGCAGATGTATTGTTGTGGTGACAAAACCACAAATCAGGCCTCTTTTGGTCAAACACCATTATGCTATCGTCTCAGAACCTCTAAATTGAAAGCTTGATTAACAGTCTGATCTGGTGAAGAACTCCAAATACACTACGAGTCGACATTTTCGTCCTTTTGGGAAGTTGATGGACGTCCAGAATGAGGTTTGTCACCAATCGACATTTCACCTTGAATTTGTTGTCCTTGTAAGCTGTGTTCAACATCGAATCAGTTTCTGTGGCATCCCCCCACCCCACCAAGCAGGAAACAAAATTTCACAGCTGCAAGCTGTTCTCTTAAATCGGCCATCACAAAAAAACAAGATTCGAGCGAAACTGCTTTTACGAAAAAATTCACTGTGACCAGAGAGAACCTTCCCAGGCAATGCTACTGGTTGCACTAACTCAAAGCGAGTTGCTAGATTCTTGCCTAGCGGGAAAAATGTGTACTACGAAAGTTCCACTTGGCCCAGTGCAATTCCGGGTGGTTTTTTAGTACCCCCTGCATGAGGGTGGCTTGAAAAAGTTCACAGGAAAATGGAATAAAAAGATAATGGAATTTTATCTCACACTTCTCAAAGCACCCTAAAATTATATCCCATCCAATCTAAGATGCTATCGATTATATGATAAACACTAGAAAGGTACTCCCAGTACTCTGCAAAACCGATGCATCCGTTTGTAAAACAGGCCACGATTTCAGAGGTATCAAAATGTGAAAAAAATGTTCACTGTAGAAACGTTTTGTTAAAAGTATATCCCTAGATAATGAAAGAACATGCAAATATAATCAGGAAATTGTTGTTTGGAGTATCTCAGACAGAAGGAAAATATTAGAAGATAAGAAACAGGCAAGTAAAGAGGGAAACTACAAAGCAATGAGCCAGAGAAGCACCTGCAGAGATATCTTAAAATCCTTGTAGGCCTTGGGCTCTTTTGGCAAAATGCACCTACACGCCACATTAAATACAATTTATGGATCACTACATAATAGTCCTATCTAGTTGCAGTAGACTAGTTAGCATATTACTATATCTGAGCACATTTAGTAAAACCATTGTTACTTTTGATTTTACAATTTCCTTTCCATAACTTGGAGCCAATGATATTTTTAGGCATTACGTGTACTTATACACTCTTCCAAAACAGCATGTCCTATAATACCTAAGAGATACAATGGCCCCACCCTACCTCTTCATTGTCTCAACGTTCAAGGATATATTACTACACGAATGACGAACATGGAGGTAGATATCAGGGTGGACTTGTTTCTTTTCTGTTAAAGTACTGGATTTCTGCAAGGAACAAAACCTGTTGCTGTGGAGTCAGTTCTGGCTTCTTGTGCCCTCGTGTGTGCCAGAGCACAACTGAGCTTCACGGAGTTTTCAATGGCTAATTTTTCCCAAGTAAAGCACCACGCCTTTCTCTCTGGGTGAACTGGAACTGCCAATTTTTCAGCCATCAGTAAAGTGCATTACTGTTTGCACCATTCAGAGACTCTGCTCAAGTACCATTATCCCAAAATTATAAAAGAGAAAACAGAGACAAAGAGAAGCTATAGAATAAAATACAGGGTTTAAAATCAAATCTGTCTGACTCAAAGCCTCTCCCTTAACCACTAATCCCATTTAACGGGAGAGCAGTCTATCTGAACTGAGCCTTGGCTGTACCCAGGACCTTCCAAGGGAGGCTGATCTTTTGGAGCAGGGCTTAGAGTTAGGGACAACCCTCCTCATGCCTAATGGCCACTGCTCTTCCGAGGACTATTCATTCATTGCACAAACGTTTATTAAGCCCAAGCACTGTGTTAGGCACAGGGGATAATATAGTGAACAAGAAAATGGAGTCCCTGACTTCATGAAGCTCAGTTAAACCATTCATCAAGTTCCTCCTTTATCCAAGTACTGTGATTGGAGGGGAGCCCTGGTAACATAGTGGGTTACAAGTTGGACTGCTAACAGTAAAGTCAGCAGTTCAAAACCCCTAGATCCTCCTTGGGGGAAAGATGAGGCTTTCTATTCCCGAAAAGAGTTATAGTTTTGGAAACCCACAGGGACAGTTCTACCCTGTCACTATAAGTGATTTTGGAGCTTTGTGATTGGAGGTGAGGACATAAAGATGACTACTATGTAGTCTGTGATCTCAAAGGATTAAGAGTCAATTGGAGTATTAAACAATGCTAGAGAGTAAATGAGGCAAGCAAGACCGCTTCCTGGATCCTAGACCTTATTTCAACTGCTTCCAAAACATCTCAAACCCTATGTCTTGTGTGCATCTAAAACACAAGTTTTATACTGACCTCCTCATGAACCCTCTCCAAATGTGTTCTTCCTCTTGGTAATTCATTGACTCGTTCAACAAATACTACTGAGTTTCCACTCTGTGGCAGCCTAAGTCCTGAGAATACATTACAAAACATAACAAAAATCTCTGCCCCGATAGAGTTCTAATTCTCCTGGAGGAGAAAGATGATAAACAGAACGATAAAGTGAAGCAGAGAGAAGAGCAGGAAATGGGAGATTGAGAGTAGTCTGGAGGGGGACACTTCAACTTTAAATCGAGTGGTAAGAGTGGGGATATGACAATTGAGCAAAAAGTTTAAATAAGTGAGGGTATTAATAACTTTCTAAATTTAGAACACTCCGAGACAAAAAGATACTGATCAATTTAAGCACATTAAAACAACAACCCCGTTACATGGCAAAATAACTAAATAAACAAATCCAAAAAACAAATGGCAGGGTTATACTTCAGGTGATGGTGCTCTAGACTTTTTGGACAATTCCCGTTTAAGGACATTTAGAAAAACTAGCCAATAAAATATGAAGAGCACCTATATGAAGACATCAGAGAACACAAAAATGGTTACAGTTTAGGAGAAAAGTTGAACTGGAAATATTCATCCTTCTTTGATGTGGGACCAGAATGATAACTATTGCTCCCTTAGTTCTGTGAGCCCATTGAAAACCTGATCCCTTCTTAATCCTTTATGCATCCCTAGGCAGTAGTCTTTGACTTACAACAGGGCAATGTTCAAGGACTGTGTCATAGGTGAATTTTGACATAGGTCAAATAGCTCGTTCTCTTTAGTTTTCATTATTATTGCATTTTATTATCGGTATCTACATAAGTTCAATCTTTGAGCATCATTGAGTGAATATTATCAAGTTATGAATTGGCTACAGCACTGTATATGGTACACATTACTAAGAATAAGATATACCCCAAAAAGCAGAAAGTAGTAGTTACCCACAGACAAAGTTCAGAGGGTTAGGATAGGACAAGGAATGGAAACAAGAAACACAAGGAGAAAATGGAATAAAGAAAGGTACGGGGCAGGTCTGGAGGAATGGCAACAGGTACCATATTGGCCATGAATGTGGAAAGAAGCTCCTGAAGCAACCCAAGAACCAGAGCAAGGAAATGGATGAGACCCATAAGACTTTCAAGCAGAAACAGAATGAAGAAGCTCGAGGAGTGCAAGGCCACAGGGAAGGCCCCCCCAGCCACAGGGGGAATTATTTTAGTAATGTTAATAAATAATTAATAAATAATAAATAATGTTAATAAATAAATAATAAATGGTTAATGTTTTTTCCGATTGAAACAATGATGTCCCTTGATTTCATTCCTAAACATCCCAATTCCCTGCTATAACATCTGTTGCCACCTATAGTTAGAGTATTATACATTGAGGAGTTAACTTTTGTAAAACAGAAGAAAAGAAACCATACAATGATCCACCTCTTTAGTTCTTCTCACTTAGCCCAGCCCAGAATCCTGCCAGAGCTCTCCTCAGGCTTTGTTAGGCCCAGAATTCTATGCCAGCTAGAATTAAAGCAGTTCATTGTGAAAGAAAAGGAAAACAAAACAAACCATGGTACATTGAGGGGACCATAATAGATGACTTGAGCCAGAATGTGTATGATTGTTGGATGTCAAATCTGAGATGAAAACCTTCACCTAATGAAAAGCTCAATACACAAACCACTAGATGGTCGTAAGTGTGCATCTTCATCACTGAATACATCCTAAGTCAGAGACTATCTGTATGGTAAACTTAACCCACAAATGCCTGTAGTGGAATTGACAGGCACTTTTTGGTGGGAGGAAAGCAGCACCAGACTTATCTCACTGGGCTTCCTTCTTTGGCAGTTGTTCACTTAATTATTCACTGCCTTTTTATTCTCTTGCTCATGGCTTCTATTTTCTTTGTGTGCCTAATAATCTTTGGTTGTGTTGCTTGATGATTATGACTAAGCTGAGAGCAGGAAGCCGTCAGCTTGTTTGTCTTTCTTATAAACTCTCAGCTGTGGTCAGTGGTCATCCCACTGCACATTACCACCATTACTCTCATTATGACCAGGTTAGTCATTGGTAGCAACCTCTGGAGCTCCAGTTCAACCACAAATGAGCATTTAATTAACTGTGATGACACCCTGTGAATTACTAAAAACAAAGAACAATTTTTTAAAAACCCCTCACTGTGATAGGGTTGATTCTGATTCATAGCAATCCTATCAGGCAAAGTGGAACTGCCTCTGTGGGTTTCTGTAACTGTGAATCTTTATAGGAGTGGACAACCTCATCTGTCTCCCTCGGAGCAGCTGGTGCCTTTAAACTGCTGACTTTGCCATTAGCAGCCCAGTGCATAAGCCACTATACTACCAAGCCTCCTTTTGTGAATTACTATTATTCTATTTTCCATTAGCAAGAGCTCAGAATGTTTAAGGCCGAAGACATGACCAAACCAAAATCAGATTCGCGTACTTGAGGATCTGCTTCCTGAGACTACACATGATACCAAGTCCTGCATCAGTTACAATCTAGTTAAGAAAGCAGAACACATATTGGGCATTTCACCAAAATGAATTTAATAGAGGGAATTTTTTTAAGGTCTCAGAAGACTGAGAAGGCAAGAAGATAACATTAAGGTGACACAGAGAGATAACTGCAGGAAAAAGATACTAGCCTTAGAACTGGAGGACAAGGGGGGAGGTTTGGGTTATCAAAATCTGTGCACTTGGAAGAGAGCTTTACAGAGTTGGGACTCAGATTCCTAAGGAGAGGCTGCTGCCAGGCTGCTACCGATGCCTACAGATTGTAGGAGGGACTATCTGGGTCTCAGCACTCTGAGATATCCAGACCACCCAGCTCATATCAGTTCATCTCAGGAATATGAAGGGGCTGATTTGGAAAGCCCCTTCTATATTGTTTGAGCAATGCTGGCAGCAACAGTAAGTGAACAGGAGGGAGCAAGTCCATTCTCCAATTATCCTGCTGTCCAATCTTAGTCTCCGTCTAGGACCCCTGTTTATCAAACCGAACAGGCCAGTTGAAGAAATGAGAAATGAAGTCTGCAGAGTCCCAGCCCAGCATCATAGCAGAGAAAGGAGAATGAAGCCAAGAGATAATCACTTAACTACTGGCACAGTGCTCCCAATGAGTGCTTGCTAAATAGTCAGTACAGCTCAGAAGTGCAAATGAGATCCATGTATGTAGGAAATAAGGTTCTCTATGACAGTATTATCAGACACTGGTTAAGACCTCAGACTTTGATTTATACATGTAGAGTACCGAATTAGGTTAGAGTCCTTGTCCCACCACTTACTATGTGGATTTGGACAAGTTAACTTAAGCTTTCTGGGTACCAGTATACTCAACTCACATATGGGAATAATACCACCAACAACTTGGCAGGTGAGGCTTCAATGAGAACACATGACATGTGCTTATATTTAGTACAATGCCTGGTACATGCTTGATTAATGGTAGTTATTTTCATTTTTTCTTAAATCGTTTTATTAGGGGCTCATACAACTCTTATCACAATCCATACATACATCAATTGTGTAAAGCACATTTGTACATTCATTGCCCTCATCATTCTCAAAACATTTGCTCTCCACTTAAGCCCCTGGCATTAGGTCCTCATTTTCCCCTCCCTCCCCCCTCCCTCATGAGCCCTTGATAATTTATAAATTATTATTTTGTCCTATCTTTCCCTGTCCAATGTCTCCCTTCACCCACTTTTCTGTTGTCCATCCCCCAGAGAGGGGGTCACATATAGTTCCTTATAATAAGTTCCCTCTTTCCAACCCACTCTCCCTCTACCCTCCCAGTATTGCAACTCACACCACTGGCCCTGAAGAGATCATCCGCCCAGGATTCCCTGTGTTTCCAGTTCCTATCTGTACCAGTGTACATCCTCTGGTCCAGCCAGACTTGCAATTCGGATGATAGTGGGGGCTGGGAGGAAGCATTTAGGAGCTAGAGGAAAGTTGTATTTTTCATCATGACTACATCACACCCTGACTGGCTTGTCTCCTCCCTGAAACCCCTCTGCAAGGGGATCTCCAGTGGTCTACAAATGGGCTTTGGATTTCCACTCTGCACTTCCCTCATCATTCACTATGGTAAGATTTTTTTGTTCTGATGATGCCTTATACCTGATCCCTTCGACACCTAGTGATCGCATAGGCTGGTGTGCTTCTTCCATGTGGGCTTTGTTGCTTCTGAGCTTGATGGCCACTTGAATGCCTTCAAGCCTTTAAAACCCCAGACGATATACTTTTTGATAGTCGGGCACCATCAGCTTTCTTTGCCACATTTGCTTATGCACCCATTTGTCTTCAGTGATCCCTTTGACACCTCGTGATCACATAAGCTGATATGTTCTTCCATGTGGGCTTTGTTGCTTCTGAGCTAGATGGCCGCTTGTTTACCTTCAAGCTTTTATCTTTTGATATAAAGACGCTATATCTTTTGATAGCCGGGCACCATCAGCTTTCTTCACAAGTTCTTTTCATTTTTGACTGAACAATACATGGGCTTTAGAATAAGTAAGATTTGGATCTTATGGAGAAAGTGAATGACTGTGTCTATGTAAAGAAGGAGACTTGGTTTTATAACCCAAGGAGATAAAACTAGGACCAAGAGGTAGAAGTTAAAAGAAAGTAGATTTGGTTCTGTCTCAGAAATGGGATGCCTTGGGAAAACACATGTTTTCCCTGACACTGTAAAGATATAAACCAACACCTGATTATTGCATTGGAGTTGAAAGAAGTCATCATTCAATTGTCTTCTGAGGCTATGAACAAACGTTTCTGTCCTTGTAGGATAATAGAAAAAAGAGGACCGAGCAAAAATTGAGAGACAAGTGACTAATATAAGTTGAAAGAGAAAGGGAGGCAAAGAGTATGAGAGCAAAAGGAAGGAAACAGAGAGAGTAGAGATGTGTGGGGCTCAAGGAAGGAGGGAAGGAGCAGGTGTGGAAAGAGGGGGAAGAAGCTATCAAAGAGTAAGAGGAGTACAAGTCCTTACCTAAAGTGCCGACTGGGTGCCACATTGAGATAAAGAAAATGGGCCGTTTTCAGGTATTTCTCTATCTGTAGAATGTTTACCACATGACTACGCAGGAGGGAAGTTTCAGGTAAGAAGTCAGTATCTCTTTTTGGGGAGGTTTTTTCTCCAGGAACTTCCTGATCACTCAAAGACCTGTATGATAAAAAATCAGGGGGAGTAAAACAACAACAACAAAAAAATGGGTAACAGAACAAAAAGGTCTGATACTTAGGAGGGGGGCCTTGCTACTCTTGGCTATTGATAGGAAGAGCTAGATCAGGTGGTTGAGGGGACCTGGCTAGGCATTTCCCTAACCCACTCATCTTGTAAACATATGCTTTTACAGAGATGTCTTCTGCCAACCTTCCAATCCTCCAGCTTTCAAACCTTTGCTCTAGTTAAACCTACTTCCCACCCTGTATGATCCCCACGCCTGTAACTCTCCCTTGCTCTTCTTCCCACCTCTAGGTTCCACATCTTTTCTTTCCCAGCCAGGATTCCATGGTGTGTCACTTCACCCACACCCCTCAAACCTGCCCCAACAGTCTCATCTTCTCACCTTTCTATCAATCAGCAAAATCCCAACCCTCAAACCAACAACCTATTCATTGAAAAAAAAGTTTTTTCAGCAACACAAATGGCAACTGCATATGTGAATCTTGTCATATGAGATATACAAGAATTAAGTAAACATTGTAGAAAGAGACAATGAAAATAGTTCATATCCATCAGAACAGTCAGAGGTTAACTAGGGAACAGCCCCTCAATTGCTTACATGCAAATTCAAGGTGAAGCTGAAGAAAATTAAAACAAGTCCATAAGAGCCAAAATTCAACCTTGAGTATCTCCCACTTGAAATTAGAAAGCATATCAGGAATCAACTTGATACATTGAACATTAATGACTGAAGAACAGTGGGTTGACATCTAGGATATCATTCCAGGGTCACTAATAAATAAATAAAAAACAGGAAGGAAAAGCCCCAAATGGATGTTAGAAGAGACTCTGGAGCTTGTTCTTGAATGTAGTTAAAGGGAAGGGAAGAAATATTGAAAGTAAAACAGCTGAATATAAGATTTCAAAGGGTGACTCATGAAGACAAAGTAAACTATTGTAGCAAAATGTGCAGAGACTGGAGTCAGAAAGCCCAAAGAGAAGAGCATGATGGCCATTTCTCAAGCTGAAAGAACTGAAGAAAAAATTCAAGACTCAAGTTGAAATATTGATGGAATCTCTGTTCTATGGGCAAAATACTGAAGGATGCAAGAAGTACCAAAATAATTGGTTGGCACTCATCCATTTCAAGATCTAGCTTATGGTCAGAAGAAGGAAGTCCAAGCTGCACTGAGGGCATTGGTGAAAAACAAAGCACTAGGAACTGATAAAATATTGATTGAGATATTTCAATAAATGGATACAACACTGGAAGGGCTTCCTTATCTATTGCAAGAAATTTGGAAGACAACTATGTGGCCTACTGATATTTGTGCCCATTTCAAAGAAAGATGATCCAACAGAATGTGTAAATTAACAAATAATGTCATCAATATCATATGCAAGTAAATTTTTTGCTGAAGATAATTCAAAAAGACATGCAGTACATTGACAGGAAATGTCCAGAATTTCAAGCTAGATTCAAAAGAGAAAATGAAACCAGGGATATCATTGCTGACATCAGATGGATCTTAGCCAAAAGCAAATACCAGAAATATGTTTACCTGTCTTTCATTGACTACATGAAGTCATTTGACTGTGTGGATCATAACGAATTTTGGGTAGCATTTTGATAAATGGGGTTCCAGAACACATAATTGTCTCATAGGAAATCTGTACATAGGCCATCAGGTCTATGGAGAAACTGAATGGTTTATAATCAAGAAAGCTGTGCATCAGAGTTATTTCCTTTCATACATAGTCAGTCTATGTGCTGAGCAAATAAACTGAGAAGCTGGACTATATGAAGAACAGGGTTGGGAGAAGGCTCGTTAACAACCTTCAATGCACACATGACACAACCCTACTTTGCTGAAAGCACTTATTCATGAAAATCAAAACTACAGATTCAGTAATGGATTACACTTCAACAGAAAGACAGCAAAAATCCTTGTAACTGGCCCAGGAAACAACACCATGATAAACAAAAGATTCATGTTGTCAAGGAGTTCATTTTTCTTGGATCCACAATCAACACCCACAGAAATCAAAGGAAAACTGGAAAATCTGTGGCAAAGGGGGATTCAAAAGCAAAGATGTTACTATGAAGACTAAGGTGAGCCTTTTATAAAAAATGAAAAACACAAAAAACTGAGGAAGCCCAACAGTAGCCTTCTTCCGCAGATAATGTGTCTCAGGCAAGTAGCAAAGCATCTAGAAATTCAGACCAAAGAATAGGGAAGAATTCCAAGACCAGAGGTAAAGAACCCTCAGAAACAGAGGTCTTAGGAGACATTCTTAAATCCTGCAGAGGGCTCTGGGAAACAGGGAATCAATTTGTTATTCAAGTGGCCAGTGGACTCAGCTAGGGCCTACATAGGCCTGGAAGAAGTCTGTACAAAGATGGGGAGGGAAATCCTATCCGGTAGTGCTGCCAATTAGAATCTGCCTTGGTGTTGGTTAGGCATATGTGGGAAGGCTCCTCAGAGTACACTCACCTCGGAGCTACTCAAGAGGCCCTTGTATCCAGTACCCAGCAGGTAGTAAAAGTAGGTCCAGAGGCAAGTCTCAAGAGTATTGAATGTGACAGAAAAAGAACAAAGAAAACTTCTAATACTATGTGTGGGGGAAGGAAGGGGGTGAATTCAGGCTGTTTTAAATTTTTTTCATTAATTACTGCATTTCTCTATGGGGATTATCATTAAGATCATTGGACTTTTTTTTGCATACACACACATAAAAGAGAAGCAACCTCAGACCAGTTTGGTTTGGGGTCAGACAAATCCCTAATATCAATGGGGAAAGAACTCAGCTCAAGAGGCTGACTCCCTCATTTACCTCCTTTCGCTTCCAATGGGTTTCTCCTCTGCTTTCTCAGCACGACTGCTTTCATACTGTACAGGGATGTCTGTTGCCAGTGCCAGGGGGAGGAGGTTAAGGCCATCCAGCCACCGCATCTCTTCTAGGGCCACCTCAGCCCCAACGATGCCTACACTGTTTTGTAGCTCAGGCAGGGTCAGTGGTCGCAGCCATGTAGATAACTCCTCCTCTACCTGTTGTCCATTACACTGGGCCTGCACCAAAGGGCATGTGTGGTATGGAGGCCCATGTTGGACATGCTGCGTCTGTGAGTGACAGTCCATATGGGAGACAACTGCTAGCAAAGAATTGTCTGGGGGAAAGGCCTGGTCTATGGCATCAAGTATGTCCAGATGGAGCTGGGACTGGACCCATGGTGCCCAGCGGTACAATTGCTCCAGAAAAGGCAGTAGTAGGTCAAGGTGGTTACCCAGAAGTGAGCGATATGGAGGCAGCAAACCCAGCACGGTGTGCAGGTAGTGCCATGCTGCAGGGCTGCAGTCCTGCAACACGGCTGAGAACAGTGACTGGAGCTCATCTAGCAGAAGCTCCAGTGCTGTGGGACGTTGCCCCTTGGTCACAGTCTTAAGGAACAGTTTCTGTTTTCTCTCCGAGGCCCAGGGCAACTCCTCTTCCTCTGGGAGCAATACAGACTTCCAAGATTCCAGGCCGTCAGACGAGGCCTCATCCGGTGATGAGCGGGTCTTCTCCTCATGAGGGACCAACAGGAGTTGAGCATTCAACTGCTGTCGTATTGACCTTGCCCAGTGCTCTGGATTGGACTGCCACTTCCAAGTTGTGAGTTGCTGGGCCTCACCTGTGTGGACCAGACCAGGAGGGATAGAGGGAGAAAGGTCCTTAGGTTCTAGGTAAGAGATGGTTACAGTTAATGGGATGAGGTTAGTGGTTCTCAACCAGTGGGTAGAGACACTTTGGGGGGGGCGGTGTCGAATGACCCTTCACAGGGGTCACCTGATTCATAACAGTAGCAAAATTACAGTTATGAAGTAGCAATGAAAATAATTTTATGGTTGAGGGTCACCACAACATGAGGAACTGTATTAAAGGGTTGCAGCATTAGGAAGGTTGAGAATCACTGGGTTAGGGGAAGAGAAAGGGGAGGGATGGACCCAGGGCATGAAAAAGTGTGTGTGTGTGTGTGTGTAGAGCTAGCCCTGTAGGTCTTTCATTAAACCCAACTCACTAGCTTGCCCTCAGTACTATGGTAAGAAGCTTGCCCAGGAGGTGGGATCCTTGCATGCATGGGGGTTCCTTTCCACATCCCCATCTTCTGCCCCTCTCACCTAGGCCGACTGGTACAGGAGGCAAGGGGAGAGCAGAGAGCCGGAGCTGCTGATGAGGTATCATGGGATGCCTGTTGGACAAGTGGGTGAACATAGACATGAGCCCCCACACAAGCGCACCCTAAGCCCATTCATCCAGAGACTGACAGACGCTCGTGTGATCACACGAAGACACAAACCTACACACTGACAGGGTTCAGAGAACCTCGGTCACAGCAAGGAACTTAAGAGTGGAGCCTGGCGATCGCCTGAAAGAAAACAGGTGTCACTCCGAGACCACAAAGCCCCAGTCCCACAGGCCATCTGCCCACAGGCTGAGACGTGAGGTCAGTAAGCAGAAGCACCCACAGAGCGAATCACTCGGTCAGTCAGAGGAAGAGGGAACAGGCAGGGGACCTTGCTAGCGGGGTTGAGGGACGGAGGGGGAAGGAGGAGGTGGCTCTGCGGGACCGTGGAGGGCTTGCTTAAAAGTGACCCGAAGAGGATTCGGGGGGCCTTCCTAGGGGGCAGGGGCTAGAATAAAAGCAAAACTCAAGACCAGGACTCAACCGCAGCCCACCTCCTTCTAGCGGTTAAACGGTTACCAGGAGCCCAAAGGCTCCGAATCTCTGCTAGAAGCCGAATCTCTGCTAGAAGCCACGCAGTGGAGTGGCCAAGGCTGTGGGTGGGCGGGGGTAGGGGCGGGGCCATGGCTAGGAGGAGCCGCGGGGTGGGGGTGGGGGTGGGGGGTCCCAGGCTAAATTTCTGGCTCCTGCGTTCCTGGGACTGGGAAAGGGCTTGTCTGTGTCTAAAAGACTGGCACCATAGAATTAGAATAGCTATTCTGAGGTGGTTGTGGGCAGCTCTAATCCATACACTCATTTATCTATTCATTGAGTGGCTAAACCACTGCCCAATCCACTCTTACTCCAAGGCGACATAGAGCAGAGTGGATCTGCCCCATAGGCTTTTCAAGGCTGAGTTCCTGGTGGAGTACGTAGTGGGTTACACAGTGGCCTGCTAATCGAAAGGTCAGCAATTCGAACCCACCAAACATTCAAAGGGAGATTTACAGTCTTGGAAACCCAAAGGGGCAGGTTTGTTCTCCTATAGGGTCACTAGGAATTGGGACTGAGTGCTTTAAGTGCAGTGCCGCCAGGACCCTTTTCCCCTCTCCAACTGCATTGTTAACCCTTTAATCCCTCTTTCAGCAGCTTTTATTGAGAACGCAGCTAGTCTCCTATCAGAGCTGTTTGAATCTGAAATCCTCTGAGGAGCATTTAAGGAGCCCTCCTGGTGAAGAGGTTACCTGTTGGACTGCAATCTGTATGGCAGGCAGCTCGCAAGCCACCAAACCACCAGCAGCTCCGCAGGAGAAAGCCTTGGCTTTCTACTCTGGTAGTTAGTCAGCATTGACTATGGCAGTGAGAGTTAGGATTAACTGTTGCATATATAACGAGACTAAAAATAACTGGGTTACTAACTTGCATCTCTTTCAAATTTGTGCCTACTTTGTAACTAGTATGCTCTAAAATATGACCTTGAGCATATTCCACCTGAATTTTTTACTATTTAACTTTTAAATCATAACTTAACTCTGCTTTCCAGCTGAACTTGTTTATTGACTATGACAAGGCATTTGACTGTGTGAATCACAACAAACTATGGATGCCTTGGGAATGGAAATTCCAGAACACTTCATTGTGCTCATGTGGAACCTGTACATGGATCAAGAGGCAGTGGTGCAGATTGAACAAGGAATACAGCGTGGTTTAAAATCAAGAAAGGTGTGCGTCAGGGTTGTATTCTCTTGCCATACTTATTCAATCTGTATGCTGAGCAAATAATCAGAGAACTAGATTATATGAAGAAGAATGGAGAATCAAGACTGAAGGAAGGTTTATTTAAAACCTTTGATGTGCAGATGACAACCTTGCTCACTAAAAGTGAGAACTTGAAGCACTTACTGATGAAGATTAAGGATTGCAGCCTTCAGTATGGATTAAAACTTAATGTAAAGAAAACACAATTCCACACAACTGGACCAATAAGTACCATCATGATAAACAGAGAAAAGATTGAAGTTGTCAAGGATTTTTGTCTTTCTTGGATCCACAGTCAATACTCATGGAAGCAACAATCAAGAGATCAAAGAACACATTGCATTGGATAAATCTTCTGCACAAGTGCTCTAAATTTAAAGTGTTGAAAAGCAAGGACTAAAGTACACCTGCCCCAAGTCATGGTATTCTCAGTAGCTTCATATGCATGTCAAAGATGGATATTGATGATGAAGACAAATGGGTGCATAAGCAAATGTGGTGAAAAAAGCTGATGGTGCCCGGCTATCAAAAGATATAGCGTCTGGGGTCTTAAAGGCTTGAAGGTAAACAAGCGGCCATCTAGCTCAGAAGCTACAAAGCCCACATGGAAGAAACACACCAGCCTGTGTGATCACGAGGTGTCAAAGGGATCAGGTATCAAGCATAATCAGAACAAAAAAATCATACAGTTGTGAATGAGGGAAGTGCGGAGTGGAGACCCAAAGCCCATCTGTAGGCAATTGGACGTCCCCTTATGGAAGGGTCACAGGGAAGAGACAAGCCAGTCAGGGTGCAGTGTAGCAACGATGAAACATACAACGTTCCTAAATGCTTCCCCACCACCACTCCTGTCCACTATCATGATCCCATTTCTACCTTACTAGAACTACAGGAAATCCAGGTCGGATGATCCCTTCAGGACCAGTGGTGAGAGTGGCAATACCAGGAGGGTGGAGGGAGGGTGGGGTGGAAAGGGGGAACCGATTACAAGGATCTACATATAACCTCCTCCCTGGGGAATGGACAACAGAAAAGTGGGTGAAGGGAGACGTAGAACAGTGTAAGATATGATAAAATAATAATTTGTAAATTATCAAGGGCTCCTGAGGGAGGGGGGAGCAGGGAGGGAGCGGGGGAAATGAGGAGCTGATGCCAGGGGCTTAAGTAAAGAGCAAATGTTTTGAGAATGATGAGGGCAATGAATGTACAAATATGCTTTACACAATTGATGTATGTATGGATTGTGATAAAAGTTGTATGTGCCCCTAATAAAATGATTTTTTTTTTAAAGTTGGATATTGAATAAGGATGGCCAAAGAAGAATCAATGCATTTGCATTGTAGTACTGGTGAAGAATTTTTAAAGTACCATGGACTCCCAAAAGAACAAAAAAAACCCCACAACCCAAAAAATCTGTCTTAGGAAGTACAGTCAGAATATTCCTTAGAAACAAGGATGGTGAGACTTCATCTCACATACTTGGACATATTATCAGGAGAGCCCAGTCCCTGGAAAAGAACATCATGTTTAGTAGAGTGGCACTGAAAAAGAGGAAGGCTCTCAACAGGTGGATTGGCACAGTGGCTGCAACAATAAGCTCAAATGTAACAATTGTGATGACGGCCTAGGGCCAGGTGGTGTTTCATACTGTTGTACATTGGGTTGAGATGTGTAGGAACCGATTTGATTGAAGAAACTGATTGGATTGATGGTGACGCACTGGTAGGACAGTGGTTAAAGTGCTCAGTTGCTAACCAAAGGTTGGAGGTTCCAATCCACCAGCCACTTTTCAGAAGGATGTGGCAATCTGCTTCTGTAAAGATTACAGCATCGAGAACCCAATGGTTTGATTCTACTCTGTATTAGGACCATTATGAGTCTGAATCAAATTGTTAGCAACAGGTTTTGTTGTTAAGTAAGTCTTAAATTGAGAGTAAACTGGAATGAAAGAGAATGATTTGACCTAAATGGGGGTTTTCAGGTGTTGATTGCTCTATCAACAATAAGGGTAGAAAGTATCAATCATCCTTTTATGATAGGTGACATTTGGAAGGAAAAACACATCTAAATCATTTGCAAGAGGTTAAATTTGTAGGTTCACTTCAATCTCTCCTAATAAAAAGCCTTTCTCTGGTTATGTTAATAGTAGATTGAGCTGGGAAAGATTCAACAAATAATTTATCCATCACATTTTATATGCCAGCTACAGACAGAATCTTCTTTAATGCTTCCTGCACTATTCAATGATTTGCCCTTGGAATCTTTCAATATTGCCACTTGAGGACTGAGTTTTCTTCAGTTCTTTCCATTTAAGATATGCTGAGCTTGTTTTTCCTTTTTTGTTTTCTAACTCTAGGTTTTTGCACATCTCATTTCAATATTTCATTTTGTCTTCTTGAGCTGCCCTTTGAAAATTTCTGTTCAGCTTTTTGACTTAATTTCTTCCATTTGCTTTAGCTACTCTACAATTAAGAGCAAGCTTCAGAGTCTCTTTTGACATCCACCTTGATGTTTTCTTTTCCTGTTTTTTAACGACCTTTTGCTTTCTTCATGAGTGATGTTCTTGATGTCATCAGGTGTTTAGTCATTAGTGTTCAATGCATCAAATCTGTTCTTGAGATGTTCTAGAAATTCAGGTGGGATAAACTCAAGGTCATACTTTGGCTCCCATAGACTTATTTTACTTTTATTCAGCTTTAACCTGAACTTATAGATGAGCAATTGATGGTGTGTTCCAGTCAGTTCCTGTCTTGGTTTTAGCTGCTGATATTGAGTTTCTCCATTGTCTCTTCCCACAGCTGTAGTCAATTTTTTTGTCTTCCATCTGGAGAAGTCCACGTGTATAGTCACCTTTTGTGTTGCTGAAAAGGTATTTGCTATGAATCAGTGCAACCAATGTTCAGGGAAGCAGCCGTGAAGAGACCAGAAGATGAGTTGCATTAGGTAAATCGGCTGCACAATATTTTAAAATGTTTTCAGCAGTTTTAGAGCATATAATTAATTCACATTATCATGCAATTCAATCGTTCAATCACATCAAGATGAGCAGTACAATCATCACAATCAGTTTAGAATCTTTTCTCCTTTCTTGTACTCATCATTGTTAGTCCCCATCCTCTCCTGACATACCTCCAAGGAACCATTATTTCAGTTACTGTCTCTATAGATTTACCTATTGTGACTTCATATACAGGAAAAGATTTAAAAAAAACAAAAAACAAAACCCCAAGCTAAGAATAACAAAGTAAAACAGATAAAAATCTCAATAGGAAAGAAATCAGAAGATATTAAAAACTAGAAAAAAATTTAAAGGACCATAAGGGAGATCAAATGATAGGGTGCTAAATTTTAACCCAACTGCATCTGTAACAGAAGCCCTGGTGGCATAGTGGTTATGTGTTGGGCTGTAATCTGAAAGGTCATCAGTTCAAAACTACTAAGTGCTCTGTGAAAGAAAGATGGGGCTTTCTACTCTTGTAAGCAGTTAGTCTTGGAAACTCACAGGGCAGGGTTTTTTTTTAATCACTCTATTGGGGGCTCATATAATTCTTATCACAATCCATATATACATCCATTGTGGAAAGCACATTTGCTGCCATCATCATTCTCAAAACATTTGCTTTCTACATGTGCCCTTAATATAAGCTCCTCATTTCCCCCTCTCCCTCCTCGCTTCCCCCTCCACAGGGCAGTTTTACCCTGCCCTACAGGGCCACTATGAATTGGTATCAATTTGGTGGCAGCGAGCTTAGTTCTTTTGGTTTTGCATCTGCAACAATCAGCTTTCCAATGATGCATTCTGCATGGTAGCAAGGCTATTCACATCCCTGGTCCATCTTCAGAGGGGTACTCCCCGGTCAAAACAGAGATCACAAGATCTCTTTAGAGTCTTGGGAAGCAAGGATGTTACTTTGAGGACTAAGGAGAGCCTGACTCAATCCATAGTATTTTCAACGACCTCATCTGCATGTGAGACTTGTTCTTTGGATAGGGAAGACTGACTTAAGAATTAATGCATTTGAATTGTGGTGCCAGAGAATATTAAAAGTACTACTGACTGAGAAAAGGACAAATCAATCTGTCTTTGAAGAAATACAACCAGAGTGCCCCTTGGAGGTAAGGATGGCAAAATTTTGTTGTACAGAATTTTAGACATGTTGTCAGGAGAGACCAATCACTGGAAAAGGCCATCATGTTTGGTAAGGTAGAGGGGCAGCAGAAAGAGGAAGGTCCCCGAGGAGATAGACGACACCATGGTTGCAACAATGGACTCAAGCATGGGAACAATTGTGAGGATGGCACAGGACTGGACAGTTTTTCATTCGGCTGTACATCAGGTCACTAGGGGTTGCAATCAACCCGATGGCACTTATCAACATTAGAAGTATGACATACTTAGGAAATTCTATTGAAGCAAGATCTAAAGTAGTAGGGAGTATGTCGGTAAAGCAAAGAAGGAAGAAACAACAGATGCAGAGATGCTACGATGAATAGTGCCCGGCAGGGTGGAGGAATTTTAAGGCCAGTGTGGATCAGAGGGGAGTTGCAATTCAACTCAGCAAATAGTACTGATAGTTTGCTATTTGACAGTCACTGAGAACAGAGCTGGTGGCAGGCATGGCTTTGCAGGTTCTGTTTCGATAGTTGATTGAAATCCTAAGAAGAATGGGATGGGTTGTTATGAGTCAGACTTGACTTCATGGCAGTGTGGTTTTTGTTCTATTATCATGCTTAAATGATCAGTTTGTAGTTTCTGGCTGAGAGGCAGAAACAGGTTGGAAGGGTGCAAACATGAATACTGGGAGCTGAAGACACAGCAATGACCCTTTGGGATTAGGATAAAGGTGGAGAGCAATCGGTGCCAAAGGCTATTCAGAAATATTTACTGATAGGGTTTCACATTGAATGAGAGATGAGAAATGATATGCCTAGGGTTCTAGCTTCTGCAATTGAATGAGTACTAGACATAGGAGGACGTTTTGAGTTTGGTCTTAAGCATAGTAAAATTTGAGGATGTTTTTGAGAAACCTAAGTGGAGATGAAAGGAACTTGAGGGAGGGATCTGAGAGCCATCAGCAACTGGAGTCCGATATGCAGATAAAACCATCTTAGAAAAATTAGACTGAGAACCAGAAAGGCTAACAAGCTGCATTCAAAAGGCAGTCGTGGAACCATGAACAAAGACTCACAGACAAGGGAAGGGGTCAAAGATGAGGCACCAGTAAATGCCACTGCTACTGAGAAGTGAGGACTAGCAATAATTAAGTTAGGGACTCAGCATTGGGAAAGCCACCTTGGTGACCCCGTGGCCATAGTAAGAACTATTCCGGGGGATGATGGTTGCAGAGGTCAAAACAGTGGGTCAAAGCAGACAATTGTTCTAAAAAAGTTTAGCTTTGAAGTGGAAGAGAGCATGGTACCTGGTAAGAAAATAGAGTCCAGCACAGTTTAAAAAGGGAGTCTTTAACTTGCTTATAGAGGAGTCCTAGTGTTGGGCTGCTAACTGCGAAACCACCAGTGCTCCTCAGGAGAAAGACAAGGGCTTTCTACTCCCTGAAAGAGTTAAGTCTCAGAAACTCCCCGTGGTAGTTCTACCCTGTCCTATAGTCACTATGAGTTGGCATTGACTCGATGGCAGTGAGTGGTTTGCTTAAACAATGAGAACTTTGTAAAATATAAGAAGTCATAAATTCTAGAGGAAAAGAGCTAGTTCTCAGATCACAGGAGTAAGCACTGACTTTGGGTAAGGGGGACACTTGCTCTGTTTAGGTGGGAAGGAGAACGAGACAGCAGATGTAGAAGGGTGAATATATTTTCCATCTCATGGCTTCTATTTCTGTCTATGAAGAAGTAAGGTTATCTATAGGAAGCAGAGTGGACAGGTGGTTATGAATATTGGTTTGGAATTTTAACTGTAGGAAGGAGAGATGTCTAGAAAAATCTGGTTGGGTTATAGGGAGTGAGCCTTAAATTTGAATCTGGGAACCATCGAGCCAGTGACACAAATCTGCTCTGTAGTGATCATTGGCCAAACTCCACCAATGTTTCACTTTTATTTAAGGTTAGTATTTTACCAAATGTGTCTGACAGAGAGGAGGCAAATTTAATTCACTGCAAAAAAAACAAAACACCTCAACAAAAAATCACTAGAATTAAAGCTGAAAACAAACCTAAGGAAAAGAAGGTGCTAATGGACAGAAGGTAAAAGCAACAATGGCCTGAATATTCCAATTAAACCAAAGAATGGTTATAGAAATAGTTCAATAAGCAAAAGTGGAAGAAATGTGGTCAGTGAAGGGGATGAAAATTAGTTTTAGGGGAAAAAAAAGAGTAGTAGTTTCTAAGGACAAATAACAAGACAGAGTGCTGTGGCTGAAGTCTCCTCAGAGAAATGTGAATTTCCCAGGGAATGGGAAGTTCTGATGGCACAATGGCAAGAACACAGCCTTGTTTCCTGTGTGACTTTTGTCAACATTTATTCCAGTGCATTGGGTCTGAAACATATTGTCGGCAGATACCACTTTATGGCAAGACCCATGGGAGGTTTAGTGACTTTGAACAATGGAGTGGGAGGAATGAAGTTTTTCTCCGATCAGATCTCAGTTCCTCATATTTTTCCAGCAGTTACGAGTTCTCAGACATGGAGAGGAACGTGTTAATTCACAATGGAAATATATTGCAAGGACACACACAATTACTGATGTGGAGAAATTCTCCCCACCAGCTACACAGCATCCCAGTCTTGTGTCTCTGGAAGTTGGGAGATTCACAAACTTGTTTTCACATTTACACTTTCCAAGGGGAGAATTTTATTGGACAATCCTGAAACCTGTCAGTAGGGAGGTTTCTGGTCATCCCCTTTGATTTTAACAAGTCTTTTTGTTCAAGAGATAGCAGCTAAACAAAGCACTGATTGACATTACTTTTCTCCGTAATTGTGTGTAAGATGGGCTTCTGGTATACTCTGGTGCTTTATCATCTGTTAAGTGGAAACAGTACTTAATAGTTTTGCTGTGAAGGTTAAGGTTAAAATATGACATATACCTGCATCAATGGGTCTTCAGATACTGGCAAACATCCTGATGTAATGAGAAGAATATGAAATTTTTAAGTCCAATCTGCACATTAATTCAGGGTCTGCTACTTGAGAACTTCAACTTCCTGATATGTAGGAGGGAATGTCTTTCTGTAGGTGGTTCTAAGTTTATTGCTGTGGGATCCAGTGTCTAAGATCTTCAATTTCCTCTGTGAAAAAGCAGTCATTTCATTATACAACATTTTTCTTTTTTTTCTTTTTATACAACTTTTTCTCTAGCAGCTTGAATGCACAGAAAACAACAGCTGGATGCAAAGGGAGTTAAGGACAGCAAGAAAGTGGGGGGATAACATGATATGCCATTCAGATAGTTGAACACTGGGGGAAACGCCAAAAGAGCAATTAACGAGAAAAGAGCCAAGAGAATGGGGTTAGAAGCCACACAACAGGTATAGTAGGAACCAAGTGAGGTAGGCGTGTGCAAAGGTTGGAGTTAGACGTGATTATAAAGGTCTTGTTAAAGAGATCCTGAAGTTAGGACTTTATCCTTTAAAAAAATAATACATGTCCTTTTGGGGGGCACCATTCTCTGCTCTGTCAGTTCAACTTTAGCTGTTGAAAAAGTACCTTCGACCTTTTGTAAATTTCTCCCCCTCATGTCTGAATGTATTACAAAACATGGTCTCCCAAGTCTGCCCCTCCCTGGATCTCCTGAGAGAAGCACACAGACCTTTTTCATTGAAGATTTTATTGCTCACCCTGAGAAAACAGGAAATAGCGAAGTAATCTGGGAAAATGGTAGAAGTTTCCAAAACATCCAGCGTTCTTACAAGTTTCATCTTTGCTCTGTGGCTACTAATTTCAAAGGAGTTAGTGCCTAGAATAGAAGCCCTGTGGTTTGGGGATCTGTTGTCCTTAAGATATCCCTTCCCTGGGGTACTTTCTTATAAGATACAGTCCATACAAAAGTTAGGAACTAATGTATACCTGAATTACAAGTGAGCCATTTAAACCCCAAGGGCAGCTAGACGGGCCCAATATACTCTGTCATCTGGGCAGGAACCAACATCCTGTTGCTTTAACCAAGGGCCTTGGAGTACTGAGGTTTACCTTCTGTAAGTAGAAAGCAACTTCGGTATGTAGCAACTGACAGAACAGAGGATGGTGCCAATAAAGTGCGCTCCCTTCCGAGGGTGCGGGGCCTGGAGTGGGGGTGGGGAGACACTGTTTAAAAAAAACAACCAGGTTTATTTGTTCCAGGGGAAGGAGCAAACGTACCCAGCTCTCAGGCAACCCTTCACTTTCTCTGCACAGGCTATACCCAGTCCAAGGCTTCTTAGCTGGGAGGCTCCATCCAGGGCCACGCCTTCAGGGGTGGGAAGCAGCTAACTGCCTGGGGGCGAAGCTTTAGGCTGTTCTGCAGCAACGCCTGGCACAGCTGCGGCGGCCTCATAGTCTGCGATGCGGCGTTGGACCAGGGCAGGCATGAGGTGCACATACGCGGCCATGAGACGGTGGTTGGAATGGATCAGCTTCCCAGCACAGCTGTGCAAGCATGCCTCCTAAACGAGAAGGCAGGGTGGAAAGAGAAGTTGAGGGAGCTCCTGCCAGCCCCCAGCTTCTTCCCCAGCCCCAGCCTAGGGGCGAAAGCCGGGGAAAGGCCAGGGCCAGAAGTGAACTCGGAGTCGGCTGTGAGGAGCGAGGACAACCTCCCGACTTAGTCCCCCACCTCCTCTGCGTCCAGAGTTCGGTAGTGCAGGCTGGGAACGCAGCGCTGGAAGCAGAGTTCTGTCATCCGATTGTACACCAACAGGAAGTCCCGCAACTGCAGGACAAGAGGAGCCATGAACTCAGCGATAAGGGACCCCCACCTCAATGCAGGTCCCGCTTCCTGAGATTGCCCTGGGCTGCGCACCGCTCCCCGAAGTTGTCAGCCCTCGGATCCCTGGCTCTGGGGACACTGCGATGTGGGCAGCTTTGGGAGCGGAAAGTATGGCCCCGGAGCCGCTTAGCTCCCACTCACATTTCGTAGCTGCTGTTGTTGCTGCTCCATCACGCCACCGGCGCACGTCGACCTCACTTCCGTTACCGCTTGAACACACCCCGGAAGTGACCTCACGCCGCTCCCCTAGGACCAGAGGGGTTGGCTCAAGCACCGCCCCGCCCCTGACGGAAAATGTCACTTCCGCCCTTATTTTCTGCGACGTGGCAGGCTTCTTCTGCCCGCGAAGGGACGTCACTTCCGCCGAGTCCCTGACCTGCTGCTGGGATCGCGACGGGAACTGGAGCCCGAGCTCCCTGCGCGGCCCGGGCCTGGCGCCCTGAGGGGAAGAGCGGCCCGGCCCGAGGTGAGGGGGGCGGGGGTCAGACTTGGGCGAGAGGGGGTTAAACGCGCAAACCTGCCCTGAGGGCATGATGCCCCTGAGCCCTGGGGAAAGATGGGGGCACACCTGATGCCCAGGTGAAGGGGGGTGGGGCGGAGACTCACACCTGGGAAGACATAACTGACTTTGGAAGGGATCACCTTTATCCTGGGAAGAAGAGGCCTTTCCTGGAGGCGGAGGACATACACCAACTGACTTAACCAAGGCCTGGTAGGGTGGATCTGAGCAAGGGGAAGAGGTGCTTGGGGTGGAGGTAGCAGAGGCCGCTTGAAGGGAGGGGTCCGAGGCACTAAAAGAGTGGGAAAGGCTGAGCAGTGCAGGACCAACATGAACGAGGAGTGGGCGCCTGAGCCCCGGGAAAGGGGTCCATCTCTTGGGGGAGGGAAGGGGAAAGTCACACCTGAATGGAATAAGCCGCAAAAGGGGGCGGACTTTGTCCCTTTTGCTTCCTGCTCAGTTCCCTGAGCCTCATAGTGTGTTTGACCCAATGCCGGCCCTCATTAACTATCTGCTGAGTGATTGAATGCATGAGTCTTGGGTTCCTGGTGGTCTTGTGCGGTCATGAGAAGACACCTGAGACCTTAGTGTGCTTCAATGAAAAGGTTTACCTTGGTGGGGAGAAGTACATATATCTAAGGAAAAGAGTGGTGGCTGAACCCCAAGACATTCTTAAGTGCTGGAGACAACCTGCAACGCCTCGGGAATGACCAGGGAGTCCTTCCGCCTTTATAATGCTGAGTAGTTCCTCAGACCACCTGTGTTGGGCTTTGCAGGGCCCTGGGGTGCAGGCATTGACTCCAGTCCCTGCTCCCACCATGACGGACGGGATCCTGGGAAAGGCAGCCACAATGGAGATCCCCATCCATGGGAACGGTGAAGCTGGACAGCTGCCGGAGGATGATGGGCTGGAGCAGGTGCTTTTCTTGATTCCTACCCGCCCTCCCCAACCTTCAAATTGACTCTCAACTGATAAGCTCTGGGTTCTTATCCCATTCCTGTGGCCTTCCTCTAATATGTCACTCCTAGCCTTCTTTTTAGTAAATCTTCGTCCTGATTCTGTGCAGATGTCCTTTGCTCTCCCTATGATACTTCAACCTTGTTCCCTCCAGCCCCCACATGATTCAGCTGCTTCTGTGCCCTGATGCCTCCCTCTTTGGCCTATAGGACCTCCAGCAGGTGATGGTGTCAGGACCCAACCTTAATGAAACCAGCATTGTGTCTGGTGGTTATGGGGGCTCCGGTGATGGACTCATCCCCACAGGTATGGATGGTCAGAGACAAATAGCTGTGTGCACAGGGGGACAGGAGTGGTTCTGGAAGCATTGGGGTGTGCCTAAGGAAGCTGAATTGTGTCTGGTTGCCTTGGGACCTCTTGCCAGTATGAACCCCCAGATTCTCCTCAGCCCAAGGCCACCTCCCAGCGTTGTTCATCTGCATCCACTTAGTCTGTCAGATGAACCCACTTATCCTTTCCCTCCGGTCAGCTCTTTAGCCAGGTTAAGATGGCTGGTTCACAGATGTTCCCCCTGCTCTGGAGCTTAAGGCTGATTTGGAACTTTGTGAGACTTCTGAGGGTTTTGCTCCAGCCTCTAACATTTAGAGAAACAGCCCTGAATCTCACACAGAATAGGATTTCACATGGGAAAATCACCAGGGATGTTACCAGACCCCATCATCCCTGATCCCATCACAAGGGGGCCAGAGGAAGTCATGAGATATGTGCTGGGATTTAGGTCTTCAAATGAAACGTTCCCTCTAATGTGCAGGGAAACTCAGGTGTGTTCAGAAAGTCATCTTCCTGTGTTGGGAGGGAAGTATGCATGGGGCTGCAGAGGTACGTGGTGGTATCTGCAAGAACCTGGGATCAAAGAACTTGGTCCTTTAGGGTCTGGCCGGCATCCATCTCACAATGCCGCTCCCGCTGGCCCTGGAGACGAGGTGGCTCGGGGCATCGCTGGAGAGAAGTTTGACATCGTCAAGAAATGGGGCATCAACACATACAAGGTGGGTCTCAAACACCTTCCGTCGCCCATTCTCCCCTGGGGCCCTTTACCCCCTTCTTCCCAGACCCCAGTGTCCTTATGGCTGAGAATAAAAATGTACGGGGTGGGAGTAGGGTGCTAGGGTCTCTGACCTATTCTCCCACTTCCCAATCAGTGCACAAAGCAGCTGCTATCGGAGCGATTTGGCCGAGGCTCCCGGACTGTGGACCTAGAACTAGAGCTGCAGATTGAGTTGCTGCGTGAGACGAAGCGCAAGTATGAGAGTGTCCTGCAGCTGGGCCGGGCACTGACAGCCCACCTCTACAGCCTGCTGCAGACCCAGCATGCACTGGGTGACGCCTTTGCTGACCTCAGCCAGAAGTCCCCAGAGCTTCAGGTGCTCAGCCAGGCCAAAGAGGGGGAGGACTGGGCCCGGGCCCTCCCAGGCAGTCACCCCTCAGCCTCCCTCCCTCCCTCCTGCAGCCCACAGGGAGAACCCCTCCAGGGTGGGCCCAGCCCTGCCCCCAGCAACACTCACCTGTGGAGGCAGCTTAAGGGTTTGTACAGAGGTCCAGAAGTTGGAGGGGTGGGGGAGGATGCCTCACAAGTAACTCTTCTTTGCGTCAGCAAGAACACCCATGGTGTTCAGCCTAACTGGAGCCCCTCCCCTGCCTGCTGCACTAGTTCTTCCTGTTCCATTGCTGTGAATTTATTTGAGAACCCCCTCTTTTCATATTCCTACCCCAGGCAGCCTCAGGGTGCCCCAATAACTTTCTGGCTGGGAGAGCCTGGCTGGAGGCAGACCTTGGGTATTCCAGTGAGATGTGATGTCAGCCTCCTGCCTGGGGAGGAAGGGAGTGGAGGGCTCTGTGGCAATCAGGTAGGGAAGGTTACTTACTGTCTCTGCCTTCTGCCCTCAGGAGGAATTTGGTTACAATGCAGAGACACAGAAACTGCTGTGCAAGAATGGGGAGACACTGCTGGGGGCTGTGAACTTCTTTGTCTCTAGCATCAACACATTGGTCACCAAGACCATGGAAGACACACTCATGACTGTCAAACAGTATGAGGCTGCCAGGTGTGGACACTGGCTGGGCCTAGGGTCTGGGGAAGTGGCTGGTGTGGGTGGAAGTTGGGGCAGTATGGGGCATAAGAATTAAGAAGGAAAGGAGATTATGTGGAGGAGAAGTGAGTGGAGACCAGCCTGTGTCGCCCTCCTTCCCAGGCTGGAATATGATGCCTATCGAACAGACTTAGAAGAGCTGAGCCTAGGTCCCCGGGATGCAGGGACACGGGGCCGACTCGAGAGCGCCCAGGCCACCTTCCAGGCCCATCGGGACAAGTATGAGAAGCTGCGGGGAGATGTGGCCATCAAGCTCAAGTTTCTGGAAGAAAATAAGGTGCCATCCCTGCCCCTTCACCCTAGCCCACAGCCCATCTGTGAGACTATTAATGTTTCCGCGAGCCCCTCCCCATCACTGAATTGGGAAGCGCAGCCTGGCAACAGAGTGGGATGTTCACTCTCGATGCCCACCAGCCCAGACCTTGCCAAATTAGCCTCCTTTGAATCTCTGACCTTTCTTCTTGGATGCTGGGCCTGGGAACAGAAGTGGGGAAGTCATCCTCTGGGCTAGGATACCAGAACCTTGGGCCCAGCAAACTGTCAGGCTTCTCCCATCAGATGGCCCCCTTCTTTGGTTGCCTTTTTACCCTAAAAGCCCTATCAGCTGAATTGAGGTGTGCCTGGTGTGGGCTTAGGTCCAGGCTTAGGCTCATAGCTCCTGAATGAGGTGCATGAGTCCAGCCTCAGCTGACCCTGTTGGACCCCCAGATCAAGGTGATGCACAAGCAGCTGCTGCTCTTCCACAATGCCGTGTCCGCCTACTTTGCTGGAAACCAGAAACAGCTGGAGCAGACCCTGCAGCAGTTCAACATCAAGCTGCGGCCACCAGGAGCTGAGAAGCCCTCCTGGCTAGAGGAGCAGTGAGCTGCTCACAGCCCAACCTGGCTATCAAGGACACTGGGAGGGGCAGCCCCAGGGTGGGGAAGATTGGACATGGGACATCCCCTGCCACTTGCCCTCTGGCTTGGGCTCCCTCTCCCTGTCTGGTGCCTGACACCAGTTTTGCCCAAGCTGCTGTGGGGAGAGGGCCAGCAGGCCCAGCAGCTGCCACCCTGTTCTGTATTCTCCTGGCCACTGGGCTCCATTCCCAGATCTTTTCCTTCCACTCCACAGCCAAAGGCTATGACAAGACCACTCCCTGGCCAATGGCATCACTCCTCAGGCCTATACCCAGCTCCTTGGGGTCTGCCTCTTGACCAATGGCAGACCCTCAAAAGGCCCTGTCAGCCAGTGGCAGCTCTTCTTGGGCTCCCCTGGGCCAATGATGTTGCCTCCAATTTCCTTTGTCCCTCCTCTATGCGTGCCCATTGCAGAGAAGGAGACTGGGACCAAAGGGGGTAGGGATAATGGGGAGCCCTATTTCTGGCCCTGCATCTGAATGGGCCTTCCCCACCCCCCACCCCCCACACCCAGTTTGTGCTCAGAGCCCTGGAGAATTGGGGCCTAGCACTAGGAATAAACCTTTCATAAAAGCAGGCCCAGAGAGGTCCATTTGTGGGGAACTCCAGGAGGGTGGACTGGGTGAAGAAATGCTTAGCTTAATCATATACCAAAGCCCTATCGGGTCAGAGGAGCTAGGACCAGACAGCTGAAGTCACAGGTTTCAAGAACATTCTGTAGGCCTATTCTCGCCCCAGCCCCGCTGGAGACAAAACCTATTTGCTCTTCAGGGCAGCACCTTGTTAGCTTTGGCTCTTAAGAGCTATGGTCCAGAAGAAGTTGGACCAGTTGGTCACCATGCCTTCATTCACACAGCAAATATTTACTGAGTGCTTTTATTTGCCAGGCACTGTGCTAGTCCCTGGGGAGACATCAGTGAATAAAGCACAGTCCCTGCCCACACTGTTTACAGCCTAGTGGGGAGATAGAGACAAGTAACTAAGCAACTACAATACAGTTAAAAGACCTAGGATACAGGAAGTATAATGAGCTGTGGGACTCCAGAGGAGGGGACTCCAGAGGTCCACCCAAATGGGTAGAGATGGGGGCTGTGAAGTTGGAAGATGAGACCAGGGAGAGTCTGGGGAAGAACATTGTAAGCAGAGAAGCTAACCTAATGTGCAAAGTCCCCAAGTAAGTTGGGAAGACTTCAGTTGGACTGAAATGAAAAATGGAGTAGCTAGATCAGCGGTTCTCAACCTGTGGGTTGCAACCCCTTTGGGGGTTGAACGCCTTTCACAGGGGTCGCCCAATTCATAACACTAGCAAAATTAGTTATGAAGTAGCAATGGAAATAATTTTATGGTTGGGGGCTCACCACACATGAGGAACTGTATTAAGGGTCGCAGCACTAGGAAGGTTGAGAATCACTGAGCTAGAGGAAGACGACTAAGATGTTAAGAGCGCATCCTGGGATACAGGGCGCTGTGAAGGATTTTAAGTCAGAGCTTGACTGCATAGGAGAAGTCTAAAGTTTAGGAAAGTCCTGAAGGTTAAAATATTAAACAGACCCTGATGCTCTTGTCCTGTGTAGTCTAGTACAAAAAGCTCCAGCTCAATCTTGAGTGGTTACAGACTCAGTCACAAACCCTGGGACACCCAGCTCCACTCTTGTCAGTGAGAAATTGAGGCAGTTCCAAGCTTCTGCGCTACAGCCAGGTGAGCACCCAAATTGGAACCTTGTGTGAAGCCAGAAAATGTCCTGACAGCACATTGACTTAGGCAGGGCAGGTGCCATCACCTCTATGCACCTTGGCCAATGAGAGCTCTAGAATCTTTCCACATTCTTATCTCTGGAGGGCTGAGTGAAGGGCACAATCCAGGCAGCAGATTCTCCTGGGAGCCCCGGGACACCTGACTTTGCTCACCTTGGCCACATTTACTGCAGCTCCCCGGCAGGCTTCCTAGGTTTGGGCAGCCTCTAGTCATCTGATGAGCTTAATTATTAGGTGAGAGGTCATATACAAGTGTGTTTCAAGAAGTTCATGGGGGATATGGAATTAAAAGATCCTGGAGTTTTGCCCAGAAGCTTTTTTGAGTCCCCCCCCCCCCAAAAGCCAGCACTTTGTTTATGGTCCACTGGGAACTCCAAGCTGAATCTCCCAACTCTGGCTGGAATCAGCCTAACAGCCAGGTTCGGCCACTGATTCTACCACTTTCTAGCTGGAGAGCCAAAGCCCTTTGTTTCTAACGTTGTAAAACAGGGCTAATAAAAGAAGCTGCCTATTAAATTATTAAATGAGATATACACAGAGTGGTTCGTTTTGTGTCTGGAATATAATAAGCACTCAGTCCTTATTAAGGGTCAGGACAATTTTTATTATTTTCCACCGGGACTACTGTTCTATGCGATGATTCTGAGAATTGCTCTAGATCTTTGGGGTGAGGACATGAGTCTCCGAATGGTTAGAACCGTTAATTTCTCAGGGAGGAGCTCCTGAGAGCGCCAGGCATCTAGGGGTGAATCAAAGTCCTCCACCGTTGTCCCCCAACATCCCCTTCTCCCAGATCTCCACCACCCAAAGATCCAGGACTCCCCGGGTCAGCATACACCAGACTAGCAATATTCCGTGGGCGCCCCACGAGAGAGCTGGGAGGGTACCTCCATTCAGGAGGCAAGCCGGCCGGGCTCCCAGAGTCCGTAATCGCTGCCCCTCAAAGCTGCCTTTTCCTAGTCCCTGAGACCAACTACACTACCCCTCCCCCGGAGCCCTCGAGAGCCAGAGGCAGCTGGCGGGGATCCGGGATCGGGGATCCGGGATCCAGGATCCGGCTCACCTGCTCTCAGCGCGACAGCGGAGGAAGCGCCCGCCGGAGCCGCGGGTGGCGGGGACGGGGTGGGGTGGGGAGGGACAGTCTTACTTGGGGGTGGGCGGGCGGGGAGTGGGCGCGGCCTCCGCGGCGGTGGGCGGGACGTGGGTGGGTCCTCAGCACTTGGGCCGCCCCCTCCCCCGGCCCGTCCGCAGCCCCGCCTGGGCCCCTCCCTCCGGCCTGTGCGGCTGGTCCAGCGGCGGCGCCGGCTCGGGGACAGGCGGAGGCGCGGGACGTGGGGCGGCGCCGCGGGCAGGGCCGGCCGGGTGGACGGGCTCTGGCAGCGGGGCAGCGCCGCGGGCCCCTCGGAGTGGCCGCAGTCTGGGCCTCGGCCCTCCCATCCTTCCCCGCCGCGGTGAGTGAGACGGGCGGGGCCCAGGCGTGCGTTTGTATCCCTGTCGTCTGGGTGGGGGTCCAGGTCCACGTCCAAGCCGTGTGTGCGTCTGTCGGAGGGTCTGTGGGTGGGGGCGCGGATGCCTGTCTCCATCCACGTGAGGCGTGTCTATATCTGTGAGAGCAGGGCGGGGGGGATTCTTCGGGTTGTGGCTGCTCAGGTGAGGTCTATGCCTGAGGTGGGGGGAGGCGCGGGTGGATGGGTGAGGTTCCTTGCGGGAGCGCGGGGTTGGGGAGCTTGTGTGTTTTGGCGAGGGTGCTGAGTGCTGCGGCCGAGGGTGGGGGTGGGGTGTGGGGTGGGGTTATTGAGTGGGACTCTGGAATTTTGTGGCCCAGCTTGCCCGAAGGGCTCCTTTTTCTCTGGTGCAGACACCTCCACCTCCTATTTCCCCCACCCCCCACCCTCTTTGGCCGCCCAGAGGCACACCAGGCAGGATGGAGGACAATCTTTCCTTCCCTAGCACTGCTCGCTGGACAGGAAGCCTCATCCGGAGGCGACTTCTGGTAGGAAAGGACCCCCTCTGGCTCCGTGCAGCCGGGGGCCCAGCCTGGAGGACCCCAGGCCCCTCCTTGGCTTTGGCATCCCTCCCTTCTGCACTTGGCTTCAGATAGTGGGCTTCGAACCTGCAGGGACAGATGGTTGCAGGCTGGAGGGGCAGACTGCACTCCAGGGAGGTCAGTCCAGCTGAAGGCAGGTGGTATGGGTGGGTATGTTCTTGGTGTGGGGGTCTCAGGTGTGAACAGCAGAAGTCTAGGACTGGCCCCAGGATGATCAGATCTGGGAGGTCATAGCAGGTGCAAGGTCCTCTTCACAGGGCTCTTCCTGCCAGTGGATCCAGCTTGCCAATGCCCATTCATCCCCTTAGTGGAGCCCTGATTTGTCTGCAGAAATGAAATCAGAGTCCGCAGGCCTGGCATGTGCTCTGCCTTGGCTTGCATGCCTCCAGTGACAGAGCACTTACTACCCTTTGCTGTGGGAAAGCTTAAGCAAAGGTCTTGCTTCTCGGAGCATGGTTGACTTTTCTTGTTTGTCAGTGCTCTTGCTTTTGCCTCTCGCTTTAGGGAGAGGGAACTGCAGAGATCTGACATGCACTCCTGTCAGCAGCTATATACTTTCTGTGTGCCAGGCACCACCTCACCACTAAAGGGATAATGCGATTCTCGCCGAGAGACGAACTTGTGCAAAACCTCAAGGTCTGAACAGCCTGTACTCAGCAGAACAGACCAAAACCATATGGCTAGAATGGAGGGCGCCTAGACAAAGTGACTCAAACTCGACAGACATTTATTTCAAAGGGGAAGTGGGGGGAACTGTGACCACCCTCTAAGGCACCTAGCTTTATGCCGGAAGAGAGAAATTAAATCATCCAGGGAGTACAAGATGGGATTTAACTGGGCCCGTATTACAGTCTGTAGGGGAAAATAACCTTTGGGTATCTCAGGTCTGTGTTACAAGTAGACTTCTCTTCCTAATCTGCAAGTAAGGGACTAGGAGAATTTGCCCAGCACCGCACCTTGAGTTAGTGGAGTTATTGACAGAGCCAGCACTAGATCCTGATTATCTTGACCTTTAAACCTAGACACATTTTAGATACAAAATCCAGGTGAAAGAAGAGGAGGAATTGGGAAGCTGTCTAGGGTTCTGATTCATGTGACAAGGTGGATGGTGTAGCCTTTCAGTGAGATAAACACAGCTGGAGAAGAAGTTTAGGGGAAAAGGAATTGTTTTGTGATCAGTCCCTACAAATCATTCAGACAATACATGTTCACGATGAAATAAAATCTACAGGCCTGAGATTCAAGGGAGTCTTCTGCATGGGGATAGCTCTTTAGAGTCATTTAACATTTAAGTGAAGCCGTGGGAGAGGATGCGATTGCCCAGAGTATGAAAAGTCAGGGAACTGTCCCTAGAACAAAGCCTTGTGGAGCTAAACATTCCAGGACTGTGCAGTGGTGGAGCAGCCTGAGAGACCAGCAGAGAACCTCCTTTGAGTGGATCATGAAAGCCTTCAGCACAGCCGCTGCCCTTGGGGGTCATTTCTCTCACCCAACTGGTCCATGCCTCTTAATTTTTGGTGCTACTGTTTCATTGTTCATTGTTTTCCCAGTGCACCTGGCAAATGTCTACTTAGCCCTCAAGATACAACTCAATCCTTCATCTGAAGGCCTTCTTTATTGTTAAATAAAGCATCTTCAGAGTTAGCTGTTTCTTCCTCTTTGCTGTCATAGCGGTTTGAACATGCCAATATCATGACC